TGTATGACTCTGATTTGTGGTGGAAATCAGAGTCATCACTGCATAAACGACGAAGTCTTAGAAACTTCTGAATGAAGGTGGTTTCTTCTTTGTAACCCATAGTGACGTAGCCTTCTCTTCAAAGTCCTCACGTTCATTGAAATCCCATGGTATTCTGCCAGAAAGTGAACAATGGTCTCGTAACGAAATCCCTTATTAAAGTAATGTTCTATAGCCAATCTTTCGTCTCCCGAGCTGGACAACACACTTTCCTCTTCACGCCATTTTAGTGTTCCACAACAACGGCAGAATGTTTCATTGTTCCCACATTCTCTTCCACATTTATGACAGAACATGTTCTATCCTCGTTCCTTCGCCATTTTGTATGCGGGATGATGCGGGATATGGCAAGAAAACGCTGGGTGACTGCTGGCGCAAATAGCACGTGACAAAATATTTTTTTGGATTTGCAAAATATTTTCGGATTTTGAAAAAATTTTTTCGGATTTCAAAATATGTTTTGGATTCGCAAAATATTTTCGGATTTTGAAAAATTTTTTTGGATTTCTAAATATTTTTTTGGATTTGCAAAATATCTTTGGATTTGCCAAACTTTTCGACAGTGAGTTTAAAATAAATATTGCGATTTGAAATATTTTTCGGGATTTGAAAAATATTTTTGGATTGTCTCTTTTCGGCTTCCGTAGAATACAAACTCCAACCGGCCATCGACTGTCAAAAAAACGACAATAAACCCGCACCTTTCGATGAGAAAAACTGGTTTGAAGTTCGGAAGTTCACAAAGACGTATAAACAGGTCCTTCTCAAGTCGTCGACGACAAGACGACGACGGAATTCTTGGTTAGCGCTTGCGCAGTGATGTTCACGCTACTTCCGGTCGTCGTCCTCCGTTCGTCGTCGTGGTTGCTTAAGCTCCTTAATGTTGCACTCGGAGTACCTTCGACAGGTAATAACCTCTGAATTGTCAACAAGATTGCAACCCCAACGTTTGACGACCGTAAATCATAGAATGGTCTTCTTCAGTTGTCATTGTCTTTTAGGATCCACTCTCCCATGTTCGAATGATCGCAGACTTCCTCAACAGGCCTCTCACTGATGATGTCATCAGTCGCATCGCTGAGCAGTGCAATTTCATTACGATGAAGAAAGACCATGATGCAACTCTCACGGTTCCATTCAGGGATGGCCGAAATGTGCCGATTCTTCGGAAGGGCTTGGTCGGTGACTGGAAAAATTACTTTACTCCGGAGTTGAATGAGAGATTTGACTGGGAAGTGCTTGCAAAATTACATGGAACTGGATTAGAGTTTGATTTTGAAATATAGGATAAAGAACCACGACTGTAGCAGACAAAGGATACCTCGGATCAAAGAACATGTAGTCGATGCTTTAAATCTCAATGAAAGTATAGTACTTGTTTGATATGCAGGACATGAAGCACAGTCATTTAAACTAATCGTTTTCGAGAAATGGAAATTATGTTTAGAGCCGCTTCTAGCTGCTTGATTACCTTGTGAACTCAAGGAAAAAGGAATTATAAATTTTAAAATCCATTTACCACAAAAATTCATATGAATGTTGACCAGTAGACCTTTTCGAGTCCGAAGAAAAATTGCAAAAAAATAGTTCTCTAGAATAATATCACATGACCTAAAACGGTAGACATCACGTACAAGCTTAAGAGGTGTAACGCCATGTTTACCTATATTGTAAACTCTTTAGTTGTGGTATTACTACAGACATTCCATTTTCTTGTGAATTCATCTTTATTTCCAAACTCCTTTTGGTCATTGCTTCATTCCAACAAACTGAGAAATTTTGCCTCGTTTTGATGCTTTTTCTAATGACGAACTTTGCGTAAGGAGAAGCCTCACGGTTAAGTTCGCTCTTCACTCTTTTCTCTTCAAGCTCTCTTTGAAAACCAGCCATAGACTTTAATTCAGGTTTATACAAAGAAACTCTAAAAAGTGGATAGCAAAAATAAAATAAGGTATACAACTGCATACTAAAAGTCAAATTTTATTTATGTTGCATCCCCCCCCCCCTTGTTGGGCTTCCCTTCCCTCGTATCCAAGGTACTTTAAACACTCAATTGCAAACAAAACATTTCAAGAAGGACTGTTTTCATAGTCATATTGCAGCTTTAATCCCTGGAAGCTCTCTGACAGACACACTTAGACTGCCAAAAATGTCTGTAAACTACTCACAATGCACTATAAGCAACCAGTCATTATTTATTGCTTGGGAGGTGAAGGGTATTTTTTTTGCAGGGGGGGGGGGTCTGCATACATTTCAGGGGAAACATAGGATCAGTCATCACAGAATGTAAAGGGGGAACTAGAGAAAATTAACTGCTAATGAGGGAGGGGGGTCAAGAATCTCGCAGAGCCTCATGTGAGGATCAGGTAAATTTTAGCACAAAACAAACAAAATCCTCCAATCACCTTCTCTCCCCTCCCCTTCCCTCCCAAGGCAATAAATAATGACCCAAAATGATAAGAGCTGAAATGTTTTGGGTTTTGTCACCAGTTTTGACTGCAATAAGTGGTTACTGAACTTCCATGTTGCTTATCCTGTCAACTTTACACACATTTTTTAGATTTTCAGGCAAAGAGAAAAGGTAATTAGCATCTTGAGTCCATCACTTTGTTACTTCATGCATTGCTTGAGCTAAGTATGCCACATTCCCGGATGTCACACCAGCAATAGATATACGTCCGTCCTTGGTTAAATAGATTGAAAATTCTTTTGTGAGTCTTTCAACCTAAGGAAGACACAATTTATAGATGTTATCAATTAAGGACACAGTCACATCAAAATTGCAACACAAGTTACCATGTTAACTTAAGACGTCAATAACTGAAATGCCTCAATTAATGAATTTTGCTTTTCTCATTTTGTTTTTGATATTCATTGTATGCTTACAGACCTGATCAGGTTTAAGCCCTGTGAAGCAAAACATTCCAATCTGATCTGTTATGTGAGACCAGTTGTGAGATGAACCTGGAAAGGAAACAGCACCAAGAGAGATTTTTTTAATGTTATATGTCATCAATTGTAGATTTAACAATTATTCATGAGCATTTACTGGATAGAATCATCTCACATCAAACAAGAGCAAGTGGAATAAATGTTTCTTAAAAATGCCCCAAAATATATAAAGTCAATCTTCAAAACTTTTTTTTTTTGTAAGAACAAATGGAATGTTACAATGTACAAAAACACTTTTGGTCTAACTAGTCTTCATGGGCGTGCATGGTATAATGGCTGATAAAAACTCTTGAATTGCATTATCCAATGATCCAGTTTCAATAATTTTAATAATAAATAATATTATACTGTAACTGTAATTTTATTAATATTAACCAGGAATTTACTTCAGATGAAGAACTACCTGGTGGATGCTTAAAATAAGTAATAAATGGGATAAATGAGAGAATTGCAAATTTTCCAATTTCCTTCCCACTATTTTTAATTATAGAAAGATGTTTCTTGTCTAGTCACAAGCATGGGACAAAGAAAAATTCTGAGTTCTCTTGAGTCCCTATCTATATTTCTTTACTGAGCACAAAACTTACCATCTTTCTTATTCTTTACAAACTATTTTCAATTAATGCAGTAAATGGTTTGAACCCGGGGGCAACATGTGAAGGTGTAGTCTGATCGTCCGGGTGAGTGTAGTCCTGAGAAGGACTGTTGTCGGTGGCAGTGACTGACGTTTCGACAACCTGTGCGGAAGTCATCATCAGAGTCAAGTGA